TTGCGAAGTTATTTTTATTTACGCTGGTCAAGGAATTGCTGTAATACTTGTGCAAAATGACATTCCCCATAGTTGCTGAATCATAGAGTGATAAGGTAGACATCCCTGTTTGGGCCTTTACCACAGCCATTGCAATGTTTGTTTATACATGTCTTACTCCTCTTGTGAAGTTGTGTGGTTGCAGGCGGTGCGTTACTCCAAAGGTGCTGATGCTCTGTGTGTTCACAGTCATGGGGAAAGCCGAGGGCTCCGTGGCTAGGGAAGAATGGCACGGACATGTTACCGCTCTCTCTGTTGCACCAGAATTTCGACGGCTGGGTTTGGCTGCTAAACTGATGGAGCTACTGGAAGAAATTTCAGAAAAGTGAGTAATATGCCTAGCTTTAAACTTATCTTTAAAAGTAGTATTTCTACAGACACCTGTCTCTGGCTCAGATTGATGTGCATGAAACAGACACAGAATTTTGCTGTAAGCGGTGTTCTGATTTTCTGAAATTCCTCATAGCTGGAGAACAAGAATTATGAAAGTTGCTTAGCGGTTTACAATCTCTGAGCCAGAATGAGTAGGACATAGCCTGAATTCCAGTAGTGATACTGTACAAAAGACCCTTTTCTTAACAGGAAAAGAGCTTTGTGAAACATCAGCAGTAGGGCCTCCAACATACTTGTTCAGTAACTGGGCTTTGTGCAATGCATTCAGGCACAATCTTGAACAAATTTTGTACCACTGACAAAATTTTTTTTTGGGCTTACTTTCCATCTTCTTGGTTACTTGTACCTATGAAGTTAATATATTGTCAAATGAGCCCACAGTGAAATGTCCTTAACTCATTCTGGTAGGGTAATTCCACTTGGTAAAAACAGAAAATAGTACAATATTTTGAAAAATCTGCCTAGTGAGGTAAAGGGCTATCCCCCATTAGGCAAGTGAATTTTTGTGACTTATTCCACCCCTCCTAATCCAATGCAATCTAAAATGTGGATTTTTTTTTTTTTTAATTATGTCACTTGGATCTGAGGTTTATGTGGGTGTTTAGCTTATCCTTTCTGTTCAGATTTCTAAATGCACTGGCTAGTCTAGAAAGGCTGTGTGACAAAAATAAAATGAAATCTGTGCCTGTGCTTGAATTTTCCTTTGGTAAAGGAGTGCATCTGTTATTACAGTGTGAAAGGTGTTTGATTAGTGTACTACATCATCAGACTTGCTTTGATATGATTACAGTTATTACCCATAGGTTGTTACTTAGAAATACATTCACCTACTGTTCCTTAATGTGTTTTTCCTTTATTTGTTTGTTTTTTCCTTCCCCCCCTAAAGAAAGGGTGGATTTTTTGTCGATCTCTTTGTGAGAGTATCAAATCAGGTTGCTGTAAATATGTATAAGCAACTAGGCTACAGTGTGTACCGGACAGTGTTAGAGTACTACTCTGCCAGCAGTGGGGAGCCAGATGAAGATGCTTATGGTAAGTAGTATTTATTCTGCCTCAAGTTGAATGGAGTGATTCTTATGTGAGGGTTCCTGGGCTTGTTTGTAAGACTTTTTTTTTTTTTTTATGTAAAACAATTTCAGATAGTTGTTGATGAATGGGATTTTGTATCCTCCTTTAGATAACTTTTCCTGCTGAAAATTACATCAGTTACAAAACCTAATCAAGCAGTTTATACATTTTGTATCCTTATGGGTCCCTTCCAACTTGAGGTATTCTATGATTCTAGGAAATTTTCTTGATTAAAAATGATGTTATTTTAGTAGAGAATTCACTTCATATGGCTTTGTACAATGACCACTGTAACTATAATAGCATTTTTTCTGTTTGCCACAGATATGAGGAAGGCTCTTTCCAGAGATACAGAGAAGAAATCAGTTATACCTCTGCCTCATCCAGTGAGGCCAGAAGACATTGAGTAACTGTAAGCTGTGATTCTCAGGCAACTTACTAAGTGTCAGGTCTGTCCCCCTTAACCTCCAAGAACTTATGGATGAGAAATTTCAGGCTGAATGTTTTTCCCTTGAAATACCAAAAAGCAGTGTTGTGAAGCTGACTAACACTGCTTCTATAGGTAATGGCTGTATACTATCACACTTACTCTATTAGTTTTCCTTTCAAATATTGGAAATTCAGAGACTATTAAAATGGAATTACCTCCTGTATGGTTGTTTTCTTGGTTTTGTTTCAAACCAAAATACCTGAGATCAGTCATAGTAAAAACTCTTTAAATGCATTTATTCATGAGCAGTGAAAATGCTGTACAATACCCAAGATACTTGGAGAAAAGTCTTTCCTCTCTTCATGGCACAGGATTGAACTGTTCACTGTTGAGCTGGAAAAGCCATACAAGCAAGGCAGTCAAGGGTTTTTCTCACTGAGGACCAAATCCAAGACCAGTTCTGTGTCCCGGGTGCCCACATGTACCTTGGCATGCTCTGTCTGTGAAGTAACCTGTGGTAAAGGTTTCTTGTTTTCTCATAGTCTCCTTGCTCAATTTCAAGGTCAATTTAGGTTTTCCAAAGAACCTGCTAAAGAGAAGGCTCTTATGTTCACATGTCCTGCTTCCCGCCAGGACAAGGGTTAATGTTTGCAGTAGCCAGGAGGGGCATGGCCAGAACAGGGAAGGGGTTTGGGGGTTCCTTCTGGTTGGGTGAGGTCAGGCTCTTTGGTGAGCATTTACATGTGAACCATTTTCCTCTTTCTTGTACACTTTTGTCATTAATATTGTTGCTGTTTGTTTTCTTATGTCATTGCTATTTCCGGTAAATTGTTCTTAGCCCATGATCTTTACCTTTTGTGCCAGAGTGAGTGAGTGGGTGCATGGTTCTTTTCCTAAACTACAACATTACAATGTCTTCAAACAACCCTATATCTAACACTAGATAATAGAGTTTATGTGTTTTTAGTGGAGGAGCATGGAGAAATGTGGAATTTACAGAAATGAAATTCAGAGGTCAAAGTATTAATTGACTGTACAAGCTTGGATTGAGACCCAGCAGTATCTTGTACATATAATCCATTTAGCTTACTCCTGTAAGCATGTGTCTCCCTGCATGTTTTGTCATAGGTTTTATAGCCCTGCATACCCTGCCAAGAAGCAGCTGCTCAATTAATGAGTCACAGGCTAAGCCGTTATGGTGAGCAGTTCTGTTCAAGCTGGTAGACTGTTTACATTTTATTTAGCCACATTATGTAATAAATACTAGAGTTTGTTCCTGTTTTTCTTTCATCCTTATAGCCTGTTTTCCATCCCTTTCTTCCCCTTCTCTGTTAGGTGTCTGTCTCTTTGTCTTGTGTCCCTTTCTTATTCTGTCTGCACTCCATTCCGTTCCCCATCATTACTTTGCTCTCTCTCATTTTTTTTTTTTTTTTTTTTTTTT